TTTCCTTCTAGCAGATTTGCATCGGTACAAACTAGGGCTGCACCGATACTAGTATCCGTGCCGATGGCGAGCACTCGTACTCGCCCAAATGCTCCGCTGCCTAGCCCAATCAGGAAGCTGGGTGCCGTGTAATGACTCGCTGCCCCTCTTCCTGATTGGTCTGGAAGCTGGCCGATCAGGAAGCCGGGTGCCGTGTAATGACGCGGCAACTGTCTTTCTGATTGGCCGGGAAGCTGGCTTCATGCTCCCTCGTCAAGCCGGCTCCCCGGCCAATCAGGAAGTCATTACAAGGCGCCCTGCTTCCTGATTCGCCAGAAAGCCGACTCCATGCTTTGGGGACGGCTTCCATGCTAATTAGGAAGCCAGGTGTAGAGTCTTTACACGCTGCCCAGCTTCCCGACTAATCAGCAATCCAGGTGGCGAGTCATTACACGCCGCCTGGCTTCCTTAATGGCACTTCAGGTATCGGCGAGTAACGGGAAAAAAATATCAGTACAAAAAAAACCCGGTATCGATGCATCCCTAGTACAAACGTCTGACTACATAGTTTGGGTCTAGAAGAAGGCATGGGACTCCTTTTTAAAGGCATAAATGTCATACTAGTGAGTCCTCTGCTGGAAACAAAAGAAAGCAAGACTCGCATGCATGACGCCACAACAAAAGTGCAAAGTCTCTTACCTTCTATGAGTCCCTCACTTGTTGAATCAGCAACACTCAGCTACTGCTCCGCTACTATTAATGCGGGTCCTGCAGAATTTCAACCAGCAAGGGGAGCAGCAAGGTTAGTTGCACCTTGGTGATTCTGCCAATGCTTAGGTGTTACCAGCACCCAAATCGCAAGTATGGCCCTCAGTGTGTGATAAGCAATAAACCATGCAATGTTTTGCATCATACGTTCGGCCGCTGAAACACCTGTATCAAAAAGTCAGTTTTTTGAAGCCCAAAATGTACTGAAATTTCATAGATACTAGAGCGGTTTATGTTTTTACATGCCTCATTTCTGCAAAAGAGCCCCACTATGACCACTGGTCTCCCTAGAAATGTGTTTTTAGTCTTGTGTTAAAAAAAAATGATGGGACATCTTTATTTTCAGTTAAAAAAAAAGTTTCAAGGTGTTTTTTTTTTTTAAAGCATACTATCACACTTTTTAAAATTAATTATAAAAAGGAGGATTATGCTGAGTTATTAGGTACCACACATCGTCTCAAAATCATGTTTTCATGTGAAAAGGTGAAAAACTCTGATACCCAAAATTGTAAGAAGGCAATGCATAAAAAAAAAACCTTTACAGCTCACCACTTCAGGGTTACCTAAACGATGGCCCTAAAATTATTGGAAACTATTTTTCTATTTCATGCATGCCATGGAATACCAAGTATGTGTTGTACAATAAGTTTATATGTCCTTTTCTTACCGTGTGTGTGTTTTTTGTTTTTTTTTTACTTTGTTACATTACTATCTTACGAGGGTTGATGGACCCCAAAATATATATGTGATGGTTACTTTATGGGAAGGACTAGTACACCCTTGTGCCTCCTACTCTATCCATCGCAGACCAAGGACAGAGAGATCTCCTTCTTGCCCAGATGCTGCATCCAGGATTTGATGACTATGAACCCTGAAGTGCTCATAGCTGAGTGCTTCCAGGTTAATTTAGCCTAGATTAGATCAATAAATGTGAGTTCACCTCCCTCTTCCCATCCTGAATCCCCTTTGAGCAATCTGGGGCTTAGAGGAGCAAGGTGAACAGAGACCACAAGGGTGAAGCAGGTGTTGCAGTGTTCTCCCAAGGCGTTTTTTGCTAGTCGGTGGCCATGGTCAGCCAGGCAAAGCACCTGCAGAAAACCCCCTAAGAAGAACGCTGACTATGCATGTTGACCCTCGATGTACAAATTAAGTCTTTCCCTGCTAACCCCCTCCTTCCTTTTTGCTTCTCTGAGGTTGTATAAAATGCATGGCAATTGAAAATCACGTTTTCTCTATTTATTGCATTCTAGAGCTAGCATTAGATCTACGAGTGCAATCGAAGCCCTTTGAGATCTGTTCAATGATAAACACATGACACCGGGCCGCAATACCTATTTCCCACTGCAGAGAGAAACTGTAATTACTTGTGTTTTTAAGCAATAAAACGCCGCAGACCCAGCACAGAGCACCGGAAAATAGAAGTGGTATTAGCCCCTCTGCTGTTATTTAATTATTTTTTTTTCCATCTTGCGCTCTAAGGTATTTTCCACAACTCATAAAAAACAAATCTGTAGCTTCATTTACAGATGCCGTATACAGCAAGGAGAACGGTTAATGAATCCTGCTACAAACGGATATATATATATATATTTTTTCATTTTCATGTTTTATGAGCTCATAAAAAATGATTAGTTACATAGTTCTTTTTTTCTCAGGTTTGTCAGATATCAGTGTAGCAAGAATCTAATAATAAGCTTCTGTATTGGAATAGGTAGATGTGTGAAATATTGGTGCTGGGAGAGAAGATCTGTGTCCTATATTTTAATCCTATATTACTCCTTTTAATGGGGAAAAGCTTTAAATATGGGGGTCAAAGCAAAAGCAAAAGCAAAAAGAAAAATCAATGTCTTTCTAATGCAGTTGCAATTTTGGGGGTTTTATCACTTAGCACAGATTTAACAGTACAAAAAATACCTGTGTACCTGTGGCTCTGCAAGAAATCCAGTGTACTCCAATTTCCTGTTTTGAGTTGACAGCACGGTGGTCCAGATAAACTATCTGGGTGCCACATATTTGTGCACGGAAGTCATATTTTTTTGGGATACACCAACTAATAGTTCAGTTTAGAGGTTTTCAATAGAAAGATGTGACTAGTGCACCCATTAATTAAAAAAAAAAACATTCTAGGTGACTTTTCACATAAAATAGAGGTGTGCGGTAGTGGGCCAAGAGGATAATGGCGCAAGACCGTTACAGATTCTAATATGTGCCAAATAAACTGTATGCACATTTGACATGAAATGCGCCAAAATAATTTGACACGTGCAGCCACTGGCTTTCCTCAACAATTGCCGGTCTTAGTTTTTCTGGCCCTGTGCCTTTTTTGCACTGAAATACAAACTGGTGTTGTCAGCCTTTCCTATGTTCTCTCCTGATGGACTACAGACCCCAAACTATTCCCCACCCCTCTCTGTCCCAGAAAAACAGTGCTGCTGTCTTGACTCCCAAGAGCCGTTGTACACAATGTGGTGGGGTGCCGGCATAAGGTAAAAGTAAAAAAATAATAATAATTTGAGTAATGCTTGGACATAAACTTTAAAGTGGATCATCAGCTCTGTTGAGAGAGAAAAGTCTCCTTTGGGGCAAATATATACATTGCAAGGATTTTAGTGAACTTTATTGCAGATCTTTACCTAGTCCTTTTCTGAAATCTTATAGGGCTTGTTCACACCAATTGTGGTGCGTTCCAGAGCAGTAGCTGCTGCAACGCACCGCAATCGCTCACAAAACTTCCCCCTGCTTTTTGGGGCAGGAGGGGACGTGGCGGTGCATTGAATTAAATGGCACCGCTTCCATGCCCGCCCTTCCCGCCCGCAGTGCAATCGGACGCGTGGCAAAACATTGCCTGTGTTCCGTTCCACTGCAAACTATTTTTTGCATCCAATCGCACTCCGGGGGGGAGGCGTGCAAGCGGTGCCATTGAATTCAATGCACCCCCTCCCGCCCAGGGACGCAGGGGCAAGTTTTGTGAGCTATTGCGGTGCGTTTCAGCAGCTGCTGCTCTGGAACACAACGCAATTGGTAAGAACAAGCCCTCAGAATAACTAGTGACTACTCTATTTAGCTTTGTAAGATGGAAAAAAAAAAAGCTATGTAAATCACTGAGAACTGCAAACCTTTAACCCCCTTCATGACTGAGGCCTTTTTTTCATTTTTTGTACCCATGTTATATTATAATGAATATTTTTGCGCTTTTTGTTTCAGTAGATATAGATTTCATATTATTGTAAATAATTTAAATTACTTTGCACAGATCTATTTTTAAGAGTGTAAAGTATATTTGTGTTGATCGTGGGGGGTGGGGGCGCAATCACTTTCCATAACAATTCAACATGATTGTTCTGTCTCGGCCACCAATTTATGTATTTCCTTCCTGAGACTAGTTTTTATGGTACAGGCAGGTCCAACTCGCCAAGAAGACTCCGAGTAGAACCCAGTGTAGTTTATTCAGGCTTGACAATGCAGCGGATGTGATTCCTTGTCAGGCATTTCTATCTGAAGCCTTGTACAGCATAAAAAGAACCCTCTTAACACAGTGAGAGTGAAGTGAAAAGAAATGGGGAAGGAGAGGCTGGGAGTGTCTAACTAGAAGACTGTACCAGTTAACACTAAACATGGGAGGTTGAATGGAAGATGCCAAATGTATACAGAAATTAAGCTGTCATAGCACTAATCTCCCACTAGTTGTCAGATGCATACCATACCATAACATGATGATGAGCAATGTAATAAAATAACAGAAAACAATACTGGCTGTGGCAGCACAATGATAACATGCTAAAGTTGATAACTTTTTATACGCATTGTATGTAATATTCAGCGTTGAAGGGGAAGTCTATTTGTAGAAGAAAAAATACCAGGCCTAGCCACCACCTGCACATAACATTTTGATGGTGTCATGGGTTCTAGCTCTCTTCCGGTGGTGGGCAGTCCTTCTCTTCCAAACAGTGCTTACATAGTGACGTGCATTCAGTGCAGCAATACTGTGAGCCCAGGATGCCAGATACAGAACAGCCGGGACTGAGAGTACCTCAGGGGAAGTGGGTTAAATGACGAGAGAGATACTTTGGGGAAGGGGGGTTTGCCGTTCTAGATTGAAGGTGTGTATTGCAGCAAAAGCAGGTTAATTTGTACATGTACTGTACTCTGTTTTTGAGCTGGAGTTCAGACTTAAACAGTGTTGGAGAATTCATTCTCTTGTGTCAGGTAGGTTTCTGGTCACTTATCTGTTCTCTCTTTTTGTTTTCCTGCAGGGAGCTGACAAGAACGTGAAGGGACCCGATGGACTAAGTGCCTTTGAATCTACAGACAACCAGTCAATTAAAGATCTACTGCATTGATGGGACCGGAGATTGTCAGCACCGTTTGCCTCTCACACTTCCTATTTTCTTTTCTTTCTTTTAATTTTTTTTTTTCTGCCATTCTTCAATCATTTTCATCTTAACGGTGGGGAAATGCAGTGACACTTGAGAGAGGAACAACCTCGGTTAGAATGCCCAATGTCTCTGCTAACGTTTTTCTATAGTTGGGAACATACCACTCCCCACAAAAGCACAGGGGTATTTTAGGATCATTCGAAGGAATGGATCACAGACCTTCATTCTAGAACATATACCTTGTTTACAAAAGAGGTTTTACAACTTACTCTTGATTGTAGGGATTGTTTGAACTTGAAGATTAAGTAAGATTATTATATTTTCTTTTTTTAGCTTTCTTATTTAGAATGTTGTATGAGAACTAGTATTTTTTAGGCTTTTGATCATGTTCTAAACTGTTTAATAAATATTCTTCACTTCATGCAGTGTATGGAGCGAGTTTGAAGGCCTTGTATACTTAAGAACAAATAACTCAACAGTATATACATTGGACCTTGTATTAAAAGATAATATGCTTATAGTTTAAACCTGCTGGTTTAAGAAAATCAGCCTAAACATTCAACCCCATCCCTCCTTGCCTCCTTCCCCCCTTCCCCAGCATTCAAGGGCAAATAAAACTTTGGACGAAGTGTACTGCAGAATCGGTGCACCTCATTTTTGTCATGCCCACTTTGACGGTAAAACGTCACACAAGCGAAGACCTTACTCCGTTCCATACTGGGATGCATTAAAACATTCATATCTCTTCCACAACAGTTTCTGTTTACATATTTTTGTTTCTCAAGTGGATGAAAAGTAAAAAAGGACCTCAGCTATTGAAGTGTGTGAGGGCAGCATGTTGTCTGGACTGACAGCTCTTCCTCACTCGCTAGTCTAAAGATCTTTCAGTTTAGCACACATTTACAAAGCAATTTTTAAGCTTTAAGGAGCCTTTAGGAAGTCAATAAAGGGAACCTGTCAGTATGCCAATGTGGGGAATGCATTTGCTGACTCCATGGTGGTCATCCTTATCTGAGCTTTTTATTTACTTAGCAGGTAGTGGGGGAAAAAAAGCTAGAGATGCCCCCTGCAGAGGGTGGCATTGAGGCCTGCATCCTAAAAGTGGTGTCAGCTGTCATGTTTGCATTAGGACAGCTCCCTTCAGCTCCTGTCTTAGAGTGCTGGCTGTAGATGGTAACAAGCCTCAAATGTCTTATATGATGTTTCATTAAATGTAAGTTCTAGCTCAATAGCAGTCACCGAATTTACTTCCCATTCTTCAGGTTTATAGTCAACATTACCATACCGGTGATGCCATCTGAGCCTGCCCTCCAATAACCCTTCTATGTACTACCCCCACCCACCTATCTGCTTACAGAGCTGGCACTTTGGTGCAAGCCTGATTTCAGCTGGCATGTCGCAACCTAACAGATCGTCACATTTTAGGCAATTACACCATTTGGAATGAATCACTTTTGAGATAATATATATGTCCTTTTTCACTTACGGCTAGTTTTTTGTGTGAATTTATTTGCATAAGGGCTTATTTAGTAAAGATTTGTATTTGACTCCATAGTTGTTTACATTGTTCTTAACCATAGGGCTTTGTTATTTGACTCAGTTATGCACACTCAGAAGCTGTGAGTTCACGGAATTGACAGGCTTGACCTCAACTCTGTTTCTGAAGCTGAAGACTAAAAATAAGCAAAGCCTAATAAAGGGGCCAAACCTAAATCTTTCATAAGTAAGCCTGCTTATGTTACCTTCTGTAGAAATCTACCAATGGGGACAATTTGTTCTTGTGACATCAGTCTAAGAGGGGGGCTTACCTCATTTTGGAGAGATCTCTTTTTGCTTCCTGTTGCATTCACCGTACAGGAAGAGAAGAAAAATCTCTTGATCGGTACACATATGATTGACAAATAAAACCTGACTGGGATTCTAACCATTCCCTACTTTATTTGAAATGGGGGAAAAAAGATAATGTATATCTAAAACCTAAACCAAGACCGAATATGCAAAGTCCGTTCATAGATGGTTCTTCGTATGCTTTGCCCTTTGTGCCCCTGGCGTGTAACTCATACTGCATCTAAAGGAGCAGGGCAACATCTGCGTGTTCTTAGTCTCGGGTGACTAACAAGCAGCACTCCTAGAAGAATGAGGCCACCCAAAACTAATACTTCATGTTAGTCATCCATGGAATGCAATTGGCGCACATAGCGCACATTAATACCACATGTTAACACGAGTGCGGTAACAGACTGCAACGGACCCCAAAGCTTTAAACCGGCCTTAAAGGTTTTCACTTCCATTAAAGGGGACCTCCAGTTATTTAAAATTAACCCTTGCATTGAGGCTGCCTCTGCAATGCAAGGGTTAACTTCTCGTTTTGGTCTAGAGGCCAGAATATAGACGATATAATCACCTGATGCTTGGCCCCGCAGAGGTCAGCACTCGCCTCTCTCGCCCTCCACTCCAACTATGGAATGTCGCTCTGTGTCCTCCGGTCTAATACAGGTGAATAGACCTGTATTAGAAGTAATGAGGTCAGCGGGGCTTAGACCACTAGAGGCTGGGGGAGAAGATGCTGCGGGGACTGGTCTAGCAGCCAGGTGTGGATCAAGGATCCAGTGAGTATAATTTTTTCTTTTTTATTTCAGCCCCTAGACCAAAACAAGCACTTGACCCTTGCAGTGCAAGGATAGCCCCACTGCAAGGGTTATTTTTTTAGATTCCTGGAGTTCCTCTTTATAGCACTTTTAGAGTTGTATGGGCTAATTCATTATACATGTATGAACTTGAAGTGATGAGCCTTGTTTTGTTTTTTTTATCCACAAAACCAGCAACATTTTCATAACCATTCCCAATGTACTTTGACCAGTCTCATAAATGCACAAAACTTGCACATAATTAGAATTAGTCTAACTTAGTATATAGCTATTTAAACAAGCTTTTTTCTAATGCCTACAATGATGAGTGCTCATTCTGATGTTTCTGAAACTTTGCTTTAAGCAACGAATGTATTTTGTGCATGAGGCCCCATTTAGTATGTTGAGGGCTATATATATATATTTAAAAAACAAATTTCTGTTTAACTGCTGGCCTCACCAGCACATAGGATACTTCTTGAGGCCTTAAAATACCTACCACCCCCCTTCCAATAGATGAAGAAACATCGCTTAAAAAAAAAAGAGATGAAGAAACATTGCTTAAAAATGGTGGAAATATTTATTTAACTCGCACACAAATCGAAGACGAAGTTAAAATCGGAGCTTGTACCTTACAAGCTTGGCATGTATCTTCCTTATAGACCATTTTTGCTTTGCTTACTTTTTATTTTCTTCTTGTTTTTGCTTTCTGGAATAAAGAAAAATAATCTCTGCGGGTGCTTTAAACATTCTTTTTGTATCCCTTCTTGAAAGTACACTCCAAAGAAACAACAATAAATGTTAATGATGTTGAACAGATTTCATGGTGATAATAAATGACCTATGTCCTGAATTAGTGCATATTTTTGAGGGTTACAGTGCATGTATAGCAAGTATATAGAATGTCAAACTTTTTTTTTCTTTTTTGTTTTGGGTAGAGTAGGGAAGGATTACAACCCCTGTCAAGTTTTGATTGCTAGGCAAGATATTAAATACACTGTCTGGCCAAAAAAATGTCACACATTCTAATATTTGGTTGGTCCGCCTTTAGCTTTGATTACGGCACGCATTCGCTGTGGCATTTCGATAAGCCTATGCAATTGAACAACTTTTATCAATGTCCAAGAGTTCCATTCATTTTTCACCAGTGATGATGGGAGAGTCAGACCACTGGGTAAAGTCTTCTCCAGCACATCCCAAAGATTCTCAGTGGGTGGGGTTACGGCCTGGACTCTGTGGTGGCCAATCCATGTGTGAAAATGTCTCCCTGAACCACTCTTTCACAATGTGAGCCCGATGAATCCTGGCATTGTCATCTTGGAATATGCCCAATGTGCCACCAGGGAAGAAAAAAAAATCAATTGATGGAGAAACCTGGTCATTCAGTATATTCAGGTAGGCAGTTGACCTCAATTTTTGGGGACATGACATTGCTGAACCTAAACCTTGGGCACCTTGGGTTGGGCACGACCCCGTTGTCATGGCGCACATCGGCACCAATGACAAAATAGGAGGAAATTGGAGTGTCCTTAAACAGGAGTTCAGAGACCTAGGTGCTAGGATGAAGGAAAGAACAAAAAATAAACAACCTGACCAATTAAAGTAACCCCAGATCATAACACTGCCCAAAATCCAGGTGGTGAGTTTTTGTTTTTTTCTTGGCCAGGCAGTGTATATAGGGCTTCAGGTCAAGGCTGCTGAGAATGTAGATCAAATTATTCCAAATGTTAGTATCGCAATAAGAATAACGCCTGATGACCTACACAAACATGATAAAAAAACTGAAGAAAGAAAAGAAACCTTGCAGACTCAGGCTATAAAAATATGTTTAAATTGGAACTGTGCAAAATCAAAAATGACATATATGATGTAGTCTATCACTAGCATGTAACTTAGGTTTTTTTACCTGTTCATTTCGCCTATAAGTGTGGTTTTTTAAGCTCTCCAGAAGAAAGTGCAAGTTAGAGGGGCAAGACAAACCTTTTCATACGGACAGGGGTGCTCACAATGGTCAGTTTCAGTATTCATTTAGTTAAAACCTTTATACCACATGTAAAAAAACATTCTGTAACAGCCAAAAAGTGTTAGCGAGAGTTAGACTTTAATTTGTTAGTCACTTATGTAAAGCCCATCTAACACTACCCTCTCTACAGGTTGACAAGGGTGGCTCCATTATTCCTCAATAGATGCAGTGGTTTAGTGAGTGTAGCCACCTTAAGGCAGGAAATGTGTTACTGGGCTGGATCACCAGGTGAAAAAAAAGAAACTGTTATAAAAAAGAAAATAAATAAAACTGATGCAAAAAGTACTATAATCCATACTTAAAGGAGAACTATGAGGTGAGTGCTTTTCACTCACCTCATAGTTCTAGCCGACCTGTGACAATGAGACTGTCACAGGCCGGCTCAGTAGATCGGGAGGTGAGCGAACACATACCGGCGTTCGCTCACCGCTCACCTGACTGGCGGAACGGACGGGGCGGGCACAGCTGGCTCTGCCTCTAGATAGGCAGAGCCAGCTGTCAGTCACGCAGCTGGTTAGATCTCGACATCGATGTCGGGATCCGCTCTGGCTGCGGCGTCTCAGTATACCGCGAGCTGTAGCTTGCGGTATACTGAGCTTAGGGTGACAGGAGGACGCCTTAACCCCATAGTTCTTTAAAATCTGCCCCCTCCTTAGGGCTCATTAACCCCTGTGCATTGTATTAATGGGCAGCCCTTTCTTTTTTTTTTGTACAGGAATAGACCAACCTAACATGCATCATTTTTCCCATGCACGTGTTGAGCATCAAAAATGAATGGAATTGCAATGTGTTGCAGTAATTCATACTTTGCCACTAAGCACACTACTGCAACGGTTCCACTCACA